AGAGCATTCTGGATGGGCTGCAGCCCATCTCTGTCTAAGAGAAATGAAGAAATACACAAATGCCTCCCTTTCCCCCATTAACTTCCTGGTCCAAAAACACTCCTCCATGGGTACATAGCACCACAGAATGTCAGAGATGAAAGGAGCCTTAAACATAGCTGGTCCCAACTGCTTTTATGAAAGTGATAAGCCAGACCCAAAGAGGATAATGGACTCATTGGATGACAATCCTTCCTTCCCCTAACCCCCTCCAGATATTCTGATAGTCTGGGTAGAATGATGGGGCAAACCTCATGAGATGAAATTTAGTCAGCATATATGGAAAGTTCTAACCTCAAGGCCAAAAAAATCAGCCTCACAAGTACAGGACAGGAGAAGCATAGCTAGATGAGATAAATTCTCAGGAGAAAGATCTCAGGGGTTTTGTGACCTCAAGTTCAAAATGTCAACAGTAGGACTTTAGGCAGCTAAAAAAGCTAATGAAATCTTACGCAGCATAAAGACAAGCAGAGTATCCACAAACAGGTGCACTCGATCCTCTGTCTTGATCTAGAACAGAGGTTTCCAGCCTTTTTAAAAAAAAGTTATTTTGGCAGAAACTCAGAAAAAATCTTTTATAATGCATAAAATAAGATAGGATTACAAAGGAAACCAGCAATGTTGGAATTTGGTTACCAAAATGTGTTTGGTTTTTTTTTTCCAGTTCACAGATCCCAGGTTAAGAACTCCTGGCACTGTGTCTGGTTCTGGGTGTCACATTTTAGGTGGAATATTGACAAACTGGAATATGAGCAGAAGAGGGCTCACAGAATGATTATAGTTCTGGAGAAAGTTTTGTATAAGGGTCAGGATGTTTAGCTTAGAAAAGACCCAGAGGGAAATTGTAGTTGTCTCCAAATATCTGAAGAGCTGTCATATGAAGAAGGTCTTAGACATCATTTGGCTTGGCCCCAGAAAGAAGACCTGGCCTCACTGGAGGTCTTTGATTGGAACCTCTATGAACGCTCCATGGAGTTGCTAGAGGTGGGGATGGGGGTGAAGTATTCCTATTCAGGACTATAGGAGGCATTGGACTGTTGGTCCTTGGAGTGTCATCCAATTCTGGGAGCCTGTACTGCTAGGATCCTCACATTATGCCACAAAGCTGTGCTACAGAAAGCATTTTGTAAATCTTAAGAGTATATGTGAGTGAGTGTGTGTGTGTGTGTGTGATTGCATATATATTTTTTGCATATATATATATAATTTTTTGAGCTATTATTATTATTCTGCACACACACATAGAGGCCTCTCCCTTCCTGTGTCTGCTGTGCTCTGTGCTAAACACAGCTGTGGCTGAAGCCAACACCTGGACACCAGGCAAGTTATTATAGAAGTTCAGAGCTCAAAGGGACCTCAGAGGTCAGCCAGTCCAGTGCCCTCGACAGCGTACCCAAAGGCCAAGCATCTAGCATTTTCTTGAGTCTAGCTTCTAGTCTTACCTCAGTGGATGGCCTTAGGCATGTCAGTTCTCATTTGTGCACTTCAGTTCCCTCACCTGTAAAATAATCTGTAGATCTCTATTTAGTATTGGAAACCTCTTAAGACATCTCCACCTCTTTTTGGAGAACATTTTTAAGAAAGTTCTCCAACCCCACCCTATGCCCCAGGCTACAATTGGGGTTAGTTCTGCCTTCTGCTGTCTCTGTCCCATGACAAATCCCAGGGATCACTGCCTTTCACCCTGCCTCTTACCCCCAAAGTCTGCTCTTCTCCAAGTTGAACACATTCAGTTCTAGGCCCAGAGCTAGATGGGGCCTTAGAACATAGAATGTTAGCCCTGGACAGGACCTTAAAACACAATGTAAAATAGTTTGAACCCCTGCACTAATCCAATGCTCTTATTTTACGGAAGAGGAAGCTGAGGCCAGAGAGTTCAAGTGCTTCATCCAGTAAGTTAGTGGAAGATTTTAAGTCCGGGTACCTTAAATCCACAAACTGTTTCTGGGCGGAGTGAGATTGTTTTGGAAAGTTCTTGGGAAGACCAGCCCACAAAAAGAGGGGCAATGGCTTCTAGGGGAGATCGTGATTGCAAAGCCACACATTTTAAAGAGAAAAGGGGAAGCTGGATGTGTGAGGGGGGAGAGAAGGATGAGGGGAGCTGCGGATGTTAAAGCAATCGGAACCAAAATCCTTTCCTCAAACAAATTAGGATGGTGCAGGTCCCTCCTGAGTAAACAGTACCATGTAAATATTTATGCTTCATGCAGTTTGCTAACTCGGGGGAGGGAATATAGATTTCACAGATGCAGAATAATGTGAGTGATACCAGCAGCCTGACATCTTTGGTGGAGAGAGCAGAAGAACCATGAAAGAAGGGAAATCCAGGCCAGACCTGGGAATCCCAGCCTGAAATAGATGAGGGAGAGGAAGAGAAAGAGGGACAAGGATGGACACAAGGAAAGAGAGAAGAAAGGACAGGCGAGGAGAACAGAGGAAGTGGATGGAGAGATGGAGAAATGGGGAGAGGGCCTGCAGGGAGAAACCACATGGGAAGAAGAGGTAGACAGAGAGGGTGAGGACAGAGGGAAAAGAGAGAGACCTGAAAAGACAGAAGAAGCAAGAGAATAGCAGGAGTAGAAAGACAAGACAGTGAGAGATGAGTTGGGTTTGTGGTGGGTTGTTTTTTTTTTATGAGAAAGAACCACAACTTGTGATCAAAGGTAATGTTTTTACAAGAACATAAATAGCAGCCTTGGGGCTGTAGGCTGCCCCTGTGGCTATTTGGGCAGAGGAAAAACCTAGGAAACACAGTCTCTTTTTATCTAGTCATGGACAAGAGCTCTCAGAGGGCATGCTCTGCTGAAGACCTCCCAGCATTCAGGCCAGCCAGCATTACCTCAGTCCAGGTCACAACTTGCCTTCTCCTGCTTCTTTCAAACTTGGTCTAAGAAACAAAACCAAACCCAAATCCTAAATTGACAGATGGGTGTCGCCAACTAAAAATGCCACAAATTCCCACCCGAGAATGGCTATGAGTCAGTCCATCTTTCACCAATGAACAACATCCCCTCCCCCTGCACAACGTGGGTAAGACGCACATCAAGCTTATAGGTGACCTTGTACTTTTTATGGTCCTATCCGTTCCTGCCCTTGATGACAGTTCCCTCCTCAGATGTCCTGAACATTCAGTCTAAATGCCTACGTGTCAGAGCTGGCTTTCAGATGAACCTTATAGAACAGAAAATGTCAGAGGTGGAAGGGACCTCAGACCCCAGAATATCAGTAATGGGAGGGACCTTAGAACAAAGAATGTCAGTAAATGGAAGAGAACTTAGAACACAGAATGTCAGAGCCGGGAAGAGAGACTTTGGAACATAGAGAATGTTAGAGGTGGGAGAGGCCTTAGAACATGGAATGTCAGTGACTTTAACCACATGGAATGTCACTGATGGACGGATAATGGAATTGGAAGGGACCTTCTTAGACCACAGAATATCAAAGCTGGAAGGGACCTTACAATATAGATATGTCCCAACTATTAGAGATCATAGAACATAGAAAGTTAAGCCTCAGAATTACAGAAGATCTGAAAGCAAAATGAATGAATGGGAAGACATTAGAACAGAGAATACCAGAGCTGGAGTAGACCTTTGAATATAGAACATAGCAAGTCAGAGCTGAAGGGATCTTAGAACATGAAACATAAAATGTCAGAGCTAAAGGGATCTTAGAAGTGTTGGAAGTTAAAATAATTCCTGACAACTCTGTAGTCCTTTATGGTTTACAAATTGTTTTCACCTCCATATTTCATTTCACCCTTAAAACAGCCCTGTGAGGGAGGCAGAAAAGGGGTTTTATCCCCATTTTACACATGGGAAAAATTAAGGTCAAGAGAAGTCTTGGGACTTTTAAAGGTTGGGGAGCAAAGTCAGTGGGGAAGCCTCTGGAATCCTGCCCACCAGCCCCACCATTCCTGTTGCTTCCAAGCTCCAGTAATAATATGGAGTGCTGGAAACCATGCCACCATCTTTCTGGAATGTAGTATTATTATTTTTTTTCTCTCTCTTTCTACATCGCCCCCCCCCCAGCTTCCCCCTGCACAGCCTCAGAGAAAGCCCTGGGCCCCACCAGGGTAGAAACATGGAAGGGGGAAGGCAGCCAGTCTTCCCAGGATATAGGATGCATCTTGTAACTATCCCAGCATGCTCTCTCGCTCTCACCTTCTGGAGCTTCTGTGGCCAAGTACTTTGTGTTTTGAATGCTCTTACCTGCTGTGTCCAAGTCAAAAGTTAAGTAACGTGTGAAGAGACAGGAAAAAAGAAAACAGGCCTGGGAGGGAAAGGAAAAGAACAAGAATTCCTCTTAGAGCAACACAGCTCCCCTGTAATTAGCACCAAAAATCTGGCCTCACATTTTCCCCTCTACAAGCACTGAGTTTGAACTGGGACATCTGAAGTTAATTATATGCTTTCTTCCTTTGGGGGTTTGACCCTGTTTGGTAGGAATTATCCACATACAAAACAATGGCAACTGTAAAAAAAAAATCCCCCCGAACTGCAGGATAAAAAAGGGTCCTACTAGTGTATTAGAGTTGAAATGGACCTCAGAATGTATAATGTTCAGGCTAAAAGGGACATTCTCTCCTAGAATGTTACAACATAGAGTGGCATTGCTGGAAGGCACCACAGAATGTTAGGAGTGAAGGGGTCTTTAGAACACAAAATAATAGAGCTAGAAGGGACCTTAGCCTACGTTTCGTTAGAACACAGAAAATAGGATGTTATTGCTGGAGATTGAAAGAGACCTGAGAACATGGTATATTAGAGATAGAAGGGAACTTAGAATGTTAGAAGTGGGAGGAACCCGGGAGCACAGAATATTACAACTGAGAAAGACCTTAGGAACGTAGACTAAACTCCAGTGACTCCCTGTCACCTCCAGGAGCAAATACAAAGTCCTCTGTTCGATTTTTAAAACTCTTCATAGCCTGATCCCATGCACTCTGTGATCCAGTGACACTGGTCTCCTTATATTCCTCACTCAAGATCGTCCAGCCCCGGTGTCTGGAATGCTCTTCCTCCTCATCTCAGACCCACTGGCTTCCCTTAAGTCTCAGCTCAAGTATCATCCTCTCGGTACTAGTGCCTTCCCCACTGAGATTACCACCAATGTGAGCATATGTAAACATTCATTCATTCATTCATTTGGCAAGCCCCTACTAAGTGCAAGGCATTGTGCCAGACACTAGGGAGATGAAACAAAACAATCTCTGCCTTTAAGTGCTTACCTTCTCCTAACTGCCAAAACTAACAAACTAGGAAGGTTTTAAACATAGGCAAAGAGATGCACTGTCTGTCACCCAAGGAGCAGCCTTAGCAAAGAATAGCAATTCACAATTTTGTAGTGCTTTAAGGTTTACAAAACACTTTTCTTAGAAAGCTTAGGAAGATAGATGGTACAAATATCATTAACATCCCTCCCTTTTTTTGTGGAGGCCCAGAAGATATGGAAGAGCAGTGATCTGTACTGTGTAGGTATTCCCATGCATGAATTACAGAAGTTTTAACGACATGCTTTTTGGAAAGGAGAGTGTGGTGTAGTGGATGGAGAGCCATCCTTAGAGCCTCGAAGGGAGTCTTGCCTCTGACACCTGCTGGCTGTGTGGCCTTGAAAGAGTCACTTGTCTTGCCACTGGACGTTGGGGGAGAGAGTAAGGCTGATGACTTTGCAGCTTTTCCTCACTTAAATCTAATTCATACCACCACCCTTGTGATATTACTGGTCCTCTTCTAGAAAAAGCATGAACAACACGATCGATGCTTCTTGGTATTCCTACCACCTACCCTTACTTCCTTTAAATATCACCTAAAATCCCTTTCCTGCCCCCTCTTAATTCTAGCATCTTTCCTCTTACTGATTATTTCCCATTTATCCTGTATACAGCTTGTTTGTGTTGTTGCCTCCCCCTTAGAGTGTAAGCTCTTAGAGGGCTTTCACCTCTTTTTGTGTGCCTGGTGCTTAGCACAATGTCTGGCACGCGGGAAGGTGCTTAATAATTTTTTATTGATTGATTAATTAGTGCTGTAGGCTAGAGATGTCAAACTCACAGCCAGCAAAGCTGCCAGAACCAGATTAAAATATAACTGGAAAATGTTTAACAAAATAAATAAAAATACAGTCCAACACAGTTAATGTTAATTTGTGGTTTTCTAATATGTGGCCCAGGATCGGTTCTATTTGAAAGGTGCAATAAATAAATAAATAAATAAATAAAAATTTAAAAAAGAAGAAAACATTAAAAAAAAAAAAAGAAAATTGCTCTAGACAACTCTAAAACTCAGAGAGAAAATACTGATCTACATTGGTAGAGGGATTTTCCTCACCTGGAAGTTCCCCATCCCAGTGAAGTCACAGGCCCAGTCACTATCCTTGAAGTACAAGATATAGGAAACATGGTCCAAGCCCCTCCCCCCACACTATGGACTTCCATGGAGCAGGTTTGATTAGGGGTGGGGAGAGGAACAGAGGTTGGTTCCCCAAAGGATCATTATCCCTCTTTGATTCATTGCCCTCACCTGGAATTATTGCCGGAAAATCTTCTAAATATACCCACAGTATAGCTTATGTCAGGGTTTCCCTGAAGGGGTACAACAGGGTCACCAACTCGCCTAAAAACACTCAAAATAATAATGGGACAACCTTTATTTTACCCTGCAGGAAGATGCAAAAACCTCACAGAAGCCCATAAGCAAAGAATATATATCAAGCATGCAAATAACTCATCTGCTGTCTCCAAATGGCAGTTGACCTTGGGGGTTGCTATTGGAGTGACTGACATTCTGGTGAGTCCCTTCTTCTACACAGACCCCTCCTCCCCACACTATGGCTCCTTCTACCCCGTAGTTAGATTCCCCTGGAAGATAGTCACACTGTCAGTATTGCTTAACTAGCTCTTCTCAGTGGACGTGCACTGACCAGGCAACTCACAATAATGGGAGGGAGATGCTAACGAAGCCCAAAGATAAAGTCTCTGGGCACCCTCACCACCCAGTGTGATAGAGGTTTTGTCCTTTAGCCTCTGGGAGATGCCATCTTGATTATTCTTCTCTCTAAAGAAGCACACTGTTGATAAGATCTTGTCTCCCTGGAAGGCTGGTGGCCTTGAACATTTGAACTGAGGACTCTTGAACTTGAGGCAGCCTCCGAGGCTGGGACTCCTCTTTCAGGATGAATGGGAGCACATGTTTGTTTCTGCCATTTGCTACTGACTGGGCAGTGTAGTGGATAGAGGGCCTAACTTGATGTCAACATGGACCTGATTTCATAATGCTACCTTAGATACTTAATTAGTTATGTGACCTTGGGCATGTTGCTTAACCTCGATTAGTCTCAGTTTCCTCATCTGTAAGATGGGTAAACTTATAGTGCCTACCTGATATGTTGTGCAGACCAAATGAGATAGTTTATGTAAAGTGATTTGCAAATCTTAAAGTACTATATTAAAAGTTAATTAGTACTACTACTATATTGATAATATCACATTATATTATCAATAATTATATATTCTATTATTGTGGTAGTAATATAATAATTATTATATAATAATAGTACTATATTAAAATGCACTGTTATGACGATGATGTCTTGATGTTGCACATATTTGTAGTGTTCCAAGAGGAGAAATTCGAATTTTTCTTTTATCTACAATGCCTGACACATAGTAGATGTTTAATAAATGTTTATTGATTGATTAATTCCTGGGAGTAGGAACTGTTCAGCTTCACAGTTCCCTCCCCCAACTCCTCTGTCTCTCTCTGTCTCTCTCTCTCTCTCCCCCCTCTCTCTCTCTCTCTCTCTCTCTCACACACACACACACACACACACACACACACACACACACACACACACAGTACACACACACCTCTGTGCCCCTTTATGTTCTGAACAGGGAAAAATAAAAAGGAAATCCCCAAAGAAAATAGTCCATACTCCTGAGGCCCAACCAGCTAGTCACGTTGGCTATAGCACTATTTCCTGGGAACCAGTTAGCAAGGTGCCAGTGGGCATGCCCAGGGATTCCCCAATCCTTCTCTCTCCCCTTTATAGAATTAAAAAATAAACTTATCAGGCAAGATATTAATGAAAATAGTCATCTGGGAACAATTTGGTTCCTTTGTCACTAATCTTTAAATTAATTTTTTAATTAGCAAAGATCTTTCCCTCTCACATGGGGGAAAAACTCCTTATAACAAATATGCACAGATTCACACATTGGTCATATCTAAAAAATATGTCTCACTCTGTAAAATGAGCCCATCACCTCTCTCTTAGGAAGTGGGTAGCGTGCTTTATCATTGGTCTTCTGGAGCACTTCACTGCATTGAGCAAGGTTCTTAAGTCTTACAAAGGTGTTTGTCTTTACAATGTCTTTTTTTTTTTAAATTAAATTGCTCTTCTCATTTCACTCAGCATAAGTTCATACAAGTCATTCCAGGTTTCACTGAAACTATACCTTTCATCATTTCTTGTGGAAAAATAAGATTTAATCATATTCATATGCCATAACTTGTTCTCACTACTCTTTATTTTTTTTAAATTATATTACTTCATTAAATATTTCCTAATTTTGTGTGAAAAGTAATTTAACAATCATTTTTTAAATTTTCAAGTTCCAAAACCTATCATTCCCTTCTAACCCTCCTCTTTCCTTGAAAAGGCAAGCAACTTGATTTTGATTATCCGTATGCAAAAGAAAACGCAAACAAAATCATAAAAATAAAGTGTTTTTTTTAAGTATGCTTCAGTCTGTATTCAGAGTTCACCAGTTCTCTCTCTCCATCACGATCATATGCCACAATTTGTTCGACCATCCCCCAACTGATGGGTATCCACTCAATTTCCAATCCTTTGCTACTACAAAAAGAGTTACTATAAATACAAATACGTCCTTTTCCCTTTTCTTTGATCTCTTCAGGATACAGACCTAGTATTACTGGGTCAAAGAATATGCATAGTTTTATAGCTCTTTGAGTATAGTTCCAAATTGTTCTCCAGAATGGTTGGACTTGTTCACAACTCTACTAACAGTTCATTCACATCCTAATTTTTCTATATCCCCTCCATCATTTGTCATTTTCTTTTTCTGTGTTAGCCAATCTGAAGGTATGAACATCAGGGTTGCTTTAATTTGCATTTCTGTAATGAATAGTGATTTATTGCATTTTTTTTATGTGACTATCAACAGCTTTGATTTCTTCTTCTGAAAACTGCCTGTTCATAATCCTTTGATGATTTATCAACTGGGTAATGGCTCTTATTTTTTATAAATTTGTCTCAGTTCCCTATATATTTGAGAAGTGAGGCTTTTATCAGAGAAACTTATTGCAAAAATTTTTCCCACTTTCCTATTTTCCTTCTAATTTTGGCTACATTAGTTTTGTTTGTGCAAAAGCCTTTTAATTTTATGTAATCAAAATTACCTATTTTACCTCCCATAATCCCATCTATTCCCTTATCCATAAATCTTACAGGTACATTTTTCCATGCTTCCCTAGTTTACTTATGATATCACTCTTTATGGCTGAATCATTTGTCCATTTTGACTTTATCTTGGTATACAGGGTGAGATGTTCATTTATGGCTAATTTCTGGCAAACTGCTTTCTAGTTTTCCCAGTGATTTTTGTCAAATGTTAGTTCTTGTCCAAAAAGCTTGGGTCTTTAGGTTTAACAAATACTAAGTTACTATGGTCATATACTACTGTGTATTGTACCTAGTCTATTCTACTGATCCACCACTTTATTTTTTAGCCAGCACCAGATTGTTTTGATGACTACCACTTTGTAATATAGTTTGAAATCTGGAACTCCTAGGTCACCTTCCTTAACATTTTTTTTCATTGATTCCCTTGATATTTTTTACCTTTTTTCTTCCAGATTAATTTTATGATTTTTTTCTAGCTCTATAAAATAATTCTTTGGTCATCGGATTGGTACTGAATAAGTAAATTAACTTAGGCAGAATTATCATTTTTATTACATTGGCTCAGCCTACTCATGAGCAGTTGATATTTCTCCAGATCCATTAGATCTTCTTTATTTGTGTGAAAAATGTTTTTAATTGCGTTCATATAACCCCTGTCTTGGCAAGTAGACTCCTCAGGATTTCATACTATTTGCAGTTATTTTAAATGGAATTTATCTTTGTATCTCTTCCTAATGGACTTTATTGGTATTATAAAGAAATGCTGATGATTTATGTGCGTTTATTTTATGTCCTCCAATTTTGCTAAAGTTGTTAATTATGTCAGCTAGTTTTTTGGTTAATTCTCTAGGGTTCTCTAAGTATACCATCATATCTGCAAAGAGTAATAATTTTGTATCCTCATTGCCCATTTTTATTCCTTCAATTTGTTTTTCTTGTCTTATTGCTAGCATTTCTAGTACAATATTGAATAGTAGTGATGATAATGGGCATCCTTGTTTCATTCTCTGATCTTATTGGGAAGGCTTCAAGTGTATCCCCATTACAGATAATTCTTGCTCTTGGTTTTAGGTAAATATTACTTTATCATTTTGGGAAAAGCTACATTGATTCCTATGTTTTCTAGTGTTTTTAATAAGAATGGGTGCTATATTTTGTCAAACGTTTTTTCTGTATCTACTGATATAATCACATTTTTTTGTTTTTGTTATTGATATGGTTAATTATGCTGATAGTTTCCCTAATTTTGAATCAGTCCTGCATTCCTGGTATAAATCCTATCTGATCATTTATTGCTGTAATCTGCTTGCTCATCTTTCATTTAAAATTTTTACGTTGATATCCATTAAGGAAATTGGTAGATAGTTTTCCTTCTCTGTTTTTGCTCTCCTTAGTTTAGGTATCAAAATCATATTTGTATCATAAAAATCATTTGGTAGGACTCCTTCTTTACCAATTTTTTCAAATAGTTTATATAGTATTGGGATTAATTGTTCCTTAAATGTTTGGTAAAATTAACTTGTAATTCCATCTGGTCCTGGGGATTTTTTCTTAGGGAGATCATTGACAACTTGTTCAATTTCTTTTTTCTAGGATAGGGTTATTTAAGTGTTCTACTTCCTCTTTTGTTAATCTAGGCAGTTTATAATTTTGTAAATATTCATCTATTTCACTGAGATTGTCAGTTTTACTGACATGTAATAGAGCAAAATAACTTCTAATAATTACTTTAATTTCATCTTCATTGGGGGTGCATTCACCCTTTTAATTTTTGATACTGGTAATTTGATTTTCTTTTTTTTTAATAAAATTAACCAATAGTGTATTATTTTGTTGCTTTTTTTATATAAAATCAACTCCCAGTTTTATTTATTATTTAAAATTTTTACTTCAAATTTTATTAATCTCTCCTTTGAATTTCTGGATTTCCATTTTGGTGTTTAACTATGGATTTTAATTTGTTCTTTTCCTATTTTTTTTTAACTTGCGTGACCAATTGATCTGTTCTTTTTCTCTTTTACTGATGTACATATTTAGAGATATAAAATTTCCCTTAAGTATTGCTTTGGCTGCATCCCACAAATTTTGGTATGTTGTTTCATTGTTGTCATTCTCTATAATGAAATTATTAACTATTTCTATAATTTGTTCTTTTACCCATTCATTCTTTTGTTGTTGTTCAGTCATGTCCAACTCTTTGTGACCCAGGAGCATCTCCCGACAGGTGTCCAGGGTCATCTTCATTGCTTCTGTGACACTGTCTATCCATCTCATCTTCTGCCATTCCCTTCTCCTTTTTCTTTTAATCTTTCTCAACATCAAGGTTTTTTTTTTCAGTGAGTCCTGTCTTCTCATTATG